TCACAAAGGTTACCGCTTATGCAAAATCCACCTTTTCTTTGTCTCCTCGGCAGTTAGCATTGTGGAAGTCGCAGCAGGGTGATCACACCTCTGCTTGGCTTCGGGCAGTCCCTATTTCTAGATTAGGTCAAACGATGAACGCTAAAACATACCGATGTGTGTTGTATTATCGAATGGGTGTTCCATTGTTCTCTGTCCCGACAACACCGTGCTCTGCTTGCTCTTGGGTTTTTACGGGGGATGTATTCAGCGACCATGCGGTGTCATGTGCTGGTATTGTAGGTACTAAACATCGGCACAATATTGTTCGGGATACTTTTGTTGATATTTGCTATAAATCTGGATTTCAGCAAGAAAGGAGGTTGACATAGGATTGTCTGGAGGGAATGATGGGGCCCTCAGACCTGCGATGTTTTACTTTATTCATGGGATCGTGATCGTGATGTATGTGTTGACTTCAAAGGGTCTTCTCCTTTGACACAGACAAGGCTATCTGATTTTGTTCCGGGACGGGTTATGGCTGGTGCGGCTCATCGGAAGCGGGCTAAGTATGAAGATTGTTGTGTGGCGATTGGATATGGTTTCATTCCCTTCTCCTTTTCTTCGCTGGGGGAATTAGAGACGGAGGCTGTTGCGTTATTGAAGCGGATTCAGAGGTTCTCGACGACGCAAGACATTAGTGCTCGTGCTCACTAGGGTAGGCTTTGCTATAGCTAGAGGAGTGGGGGCCTATCTCAGCTACCCACTAATTTATTGTAAGTTGTATGACTTTTGTTTTTGAGATATAATAATAATAATAATTATAATAACAATAACAATAACAATAATAATAAGGAAAAATACACTTTAATAACCCCAACTATGGGCGATTTACTTTTAATAATCCCAACTAAGGTTTATTATCTAATAATCCTAACTATTGGGGATGTTTGCCAATAATAGTCCACCGATAACCGTACCGTAACCTACTGAAAGAGTTTTTTTTTAGCCACATGTCACCATGTGAATGGTGCAAAATTTTTTTAAAAAATTAAAAAAAAACAATAAAATCCCCAATAATTCCCAGCCACCCCATCACTTCCCAACCTTACCGGAATCCGATCGGCAACCTTTCCCCGACCACCAAACCACCTCTCAGCCAACCCCCAACCACCGAAACCACTTCCCAACAACCTCCCGACCACCAAAACCACCTCCAAGCCTACCCCTGACCACCGAAACCACCTCCCCAGCATACCCCCGACCACCGAAACCACCTCCCAATATACCCCCGACCACCGAAACCACCTCCCTAACATACCCCCGACCACTAAAACCACCTCCCCATCATACCCCCGACCATTAAAACCACTTCCCCAGCAAACCTTCGACCACCGAAACCTCTAAAACTGGCCGGCCGGCCTTCCACAACCCAACCTGATCTAGCCCCAACACCCGAAACCGCCACCCCGATCCCCAAAACTCGCCGAAATCCAACAAAACCACCCCAATCTAAAACCCTTAACTTGACGAAAATTGGTCTGTTCACCCCATAACCACCGAAACTCGCCATCCGACCTTCTAAAACCCCAACTAACGTAGCCCCGACCCCATAACCGCCTACCCAGCCTCCCTGATCTCAAAAACCACCACGACGATACTAGGCTACTTTTTGGGATTGGGGTGGCTAGGTAGGTGGTTTAGGGGTCGGGGCTAGGTTTATTAGGGTCGTGGAAGGCCGACCGACCGGTCTGGTTAATTGGGGTGATCGGCCGATTTTTGACGTGTTAATATGTGGGTTTAGGGTTTGGCGATGATTGTTGGTGGTTAGAAATTTTTTGCTTTTTTTTATGTTTTTTTTAAAAAAAAAATTAGACCAATCACATGTTAACACGTGTCATGCTAACCTGTTATAACAAGTCATTGACTTTGTGTTGACCGGTTGGGACTATTGGTGGCAAACACCCCCAATTGTTAGGATTATTACATAATAAACTTTAGTTAGGATTATTAAAAGTAAATCGCCCATAGTTGGGAATTATTAATAATAACAATAATAATAATAATAAAGTAAGAGGCCACATTCTCCCTCCAATCTAAAATTTTCCCAACACCTATTTTCACACCTACTTTCTATTACAAATACAGCATACATGGCGCACAGCAAAATCATCCTAAAACTTCACATCTAGATGAATAAAATAAATATCCTCTTTAGAAGTAAATAAGCAAACAGCATTCTTCCAATTACAAATAAGTTAACAGGATGTCTAGATGAATGTTAAAACAAAAGAACATACTACTAGCTGTGAACTGGAGCTGAGGACCTGCTGTAAATTTAGAAGCTATGCACATTGATCAACATAAAAGACAAAAAGAGAAAAATTTGCCAACAAAGCAAACATGCAATTCTTCACATGGATGGAAGGGGTAATATGTCACTCATCAGACACTTTGTCTCCATTCAGCAGGATCTCTACATAAGATGTCCTTGCAACCACATCACTATTATTACAATCTCTAAACACTAAGTCCATACATAGCTCAAGCTCACCTTTCTCTTTGCTGTTGATTATTTGCAGATGGCTCTGCAAGTAACATCGGATGCTCTTTTGGATCAATCAGTAGACATTCCCTACAAGTGATATCAAATATATTACAATATGTCTTGTATAAATACATAGATTAACTAGGAAATAAATTAGGCAAGGATCACACAGTTGAAGAGGCTTAAAAAGAGGATAAAGATCTAAATTATAAACTATATATAGCTATTTTTTTTCCTATTAATATAGTTACATGGGTTAAAACAATAACACTGAATATATTTACATTAATATTTTTGAAACTCAAGCAGTCAAGCATATAAGCATAGGAAGTAAATTACTAAAGCACAGAGAAATTTAAGGATCGCAATATTGATACAACAAGAGAGAAAATTTTAGGCAAAGGCTCTTTGTTCATCTGATTTTGTCTGAACTTATATTATTTTATTTAATATCTGAACTAATATTATCTTGGCTTAACTTATCAGCACTTAAATAATTTAGGCCATAACTTATTTTGTACTTCCTCCGTTCTTTTTTACTTGACCCGCTTTAACTTTTACACTATTCACCACCTCTCCTTTGACCGTCTTTTGTGAATGATATGTAAGGAAAAATATATTCATATGATATCTTTTTTAATTCGTCTCAATAAGTACTATCGTAATATACAACTTTAATAAGATTTACTTATGAAGAATTAAAGTAATTGATTGCTAAAGTTTTGCATTGGCGAGCGTGATAAAAGAAACGGGTCAAGTAAAAAAACGGAGGAAGTATGAACTTAATTTTATCTATTTTGTCTTATATAAGATAAGATAATTTATAATAAGATAAAACAAACAGGATAATAATCACAAACAAGTATGGCAATCTCGGAGAAAAAATAATTTTTATTTTAAGACGAGACAAGATAAGTTCAAATCAAATACTTTCACATAATTTCAAATTAAATAACTTCAGACTAAAAAATAAAACCAAACAGAGCCTTTTTTTTATTATTATTATTCCTATTAGGATTTTAATTTGTCTTGGTGAGTTGATACATCACTAACAACCCTAACTAAATTTGCTCCTTACAAAATTTCTGTTACAAATAAATACATAACAAGGCTTTTAGTAGAACTATTTATTGAATATAATTGGCCGAGTGAAATGATGAATTTTGTTTACATACATGCTCTAAGACATCCCAAGGTTCTAATCAAAAAAAATTCTAAGCCTATATAAAAAAGATCAATGGCAAAAAATCTATTGCCAAGGGATGTTAAGGACTTCCCAATCACCTATAAAAAAAGATCAATCACTAGTACCTTATGTAAGGTTCTTTGCATCGCAAAGATCCACTGTAATTCTTGAATGATCAAGTAACTTGCAAGAAATTGCACCATGACACTATTAAATAGGGCGATTAACCTAGACCAATCTTTAAGCTTTTGGAATCAAGGCTTAATTTGCTTCAAGCAAGATGAGAAAAGACTTTATATACGAAATTTGTGTACTGCTTTATATATTAAGACCTTGGGTGATCATCTACACAAAACTAACAAAGAAAGTGACTGGCAACTCTCCTACAACCTCAATCAATAGTCGAAATTCATATAAAGCTCATTCAATAGAAACTGAGCCAGAAAATACAATAGTGAACATTTTTGAAGACACAAAACTAAATTCCCAGAGCATTATTACTATCATCACTTTCAACGTTAGTATATTGTCCACTCCTTTCATATTAGGAACCAAGGAATTAAAACATTCCAATCACCTGAAACCGTGGTCCAATATGCTGTCAACAATATCCCAGTCTGCGATCACTCCGTCTTTAAAGGGAGATAAGACCTGATAGAGTAGGATACAAGATACCATAAGATAATAAATAAATAAATAATTCAAGAAATGTATGGTTCATTTTTTAATATGCTACATTAACCACAATGTTCCTTCTGCTACATTAGAATTTATTTTATAACAAGTAAGAAAGCAGCAAAGTGTTTATCTTTCAATATTTATCCCTTGTTCAGGTAATCTTGCAGCCTACACTCAATTATATTCTCCACAATCACAAAATTATGAGATTTATAAGGGAAGAATTACATCAGTCACTTGCCTCCATATTATCACGACGAAATCCCAAGGATTGCGATCCAACATAAAATTTGCGTTTACTCTTTTCTTTCTCAGATTCAAAGGTTTTCACAGTACTGTTTGAATCAGGAGCTGAACCCAGGTTCTTTTCAGGGTTATCAGGAACATCAACCTCCATTTGATCAACTGCTCCAACCACCTTCATAACATTAATGAAAAGAAAGAGGAGAAATTTAGATAATTGAACCACTACACTTAATAACAAAGAGACAACTAAGATGCACAATCATGAACGTCATCATTACTGTTACTTCATCACCAAAACAATAATACCCTAATTCCTTAATGCATAAATAAGGACTTGTAGAAGAAAATCGTCCATTAAAAGACATGACCAATTGACCATAACTCATGAAAAGAATAAACCAATGACCAAGTTTTATCATGCACTGGGAAGAACATAAAATCTGTACAATAATTGCAAAGAGCCCAATATCAACAAAAGATAACCAGACGCCAGATTCTTTTTGTATAATGGAATATCAACTAAAGATAATGACAACTCTCATACAATTTACAGTTTTACACAGACTATTAGGGGAAATAATAACTGAACAAATACATGCAGATGTGCATGAGGAATTCCATTTTGAGATCTTCACTTGGCATAAGCACTGATAAACAAAATATTTAGCCTATAACACTATGTTAATCACAAATAGGGGCCTTGAGGATATGCATGTTGGTACAAAGTTTAATAAAATCTGAACATGAGCTTTGCCCATACTCCAAGGGGAAAGCTGACCGATAAGGCAAGCTTTGACGTTGACAAAATGGCAAAGGAAAGATGTTGGTTAGAAGTTTGCCAGACCAGAACAAAGCTGCCCAATAAGGCGCAAATTTAAGCAGCAAAAGTCTGGGAAAAAAAACCTAGTTTTCTTCTCTTTGATTCCTTTTGTAACAGCTACCTTGTCAATCTAAAATAAGTTTGACCTTTTGGCTTTTATAAAATTAAACGTAATTTCAAGATTGATTTCCTGTTAATAAGGGAGTTTCAAACTCTATTTTCTCAAATTGATTTCTCTTAATGGCATTGATATCTCATGAATTTTGGCATCTCCTAGCTGCTGCATAAACCATCTTCTTCAATATGTACTCAATGACTCTCCATGAGTAATACACACAACATTGTTCATTCATCTTCTTCCTTTTCTTCTATTTCTTTCTTTGTGAATAAGATCATGTAACTCTAACCTCTCAACTAAAGTGTCTATGTGAGATCAGTGTGTAAACTTAAGGTAAAGAATTGGCAAATACAATTGAGAACCCTATTTGCGCTGAAATCAAACATTAGTAGTCCCTACTTGACACGACTAACCAATTTCAATTCACCATTGTTTTGTTTAATTTTTCCTAGTATTAGACTTGAAAATTCCTTCAATTCCAACAATGCTAGCATCATATATGATAGGACTAAAGAGGGTAAATTGAAACCTAGTTCACCATCATAGAGCTCCTATGTCCTATACTCCAATAGCCGCTGTAGGGGTAGTTGAGCGAGTGACAAGGAAAAGTTCTGCCAGATCATTTTACAAGAGTTGTGAATGTTGTCCAATAGCCTAAAATAAGGCTCTAAAGATTCATGATGGAACGGTAAAGAAGTTCCAAAATTTTATGATCTGATTTGAAAAGGCCATCACCATTAACCAACTTTTTAGTTAAACTACTCTCACCATTCCCTAACTATATTTATTTTGCAACAACGTCCTAAACCAAAAACTTATTGATTTATATTAGTTAGAATTAAAGGATAAAATATCAAGTATTCTTAAATCAAGAAAAGCTACCAAAAGCAGTAAAAAAAAACCTTAACATTTACTGGAATAATGAAAAACAAGGGAACAAGAAGCACTTAAATCAGAATGAAGAATATGATGAAGCACTTACAGAAGGAAAGACAGCCTTGGGAGCATCTTCACCAGCATAGCCTGCCTTGCAAGTGTGAGACCCCATGTCTATCACAATTGCTGATACTTCATCTATTTTGCAGATATAAACATAAAAGGATAAGAAACTACGCATCATTGAAAAAAAAAATCAAAATTAATTTAAATAAAGTTATTTGAAAACCACCTCCAAACCCTGCCCTCCAAAAATAGGCAGAATATTTCAATCATCGACAATATTCCTTTTTTATAAACAACTAAAAGAATACAACTCTATTATGAATGAAAAGACGGATAAACATAGACAAAGAAGTCCAAGTTTTAAATTTTTATGATAAATATAATGGTTTCATTCGATAAAACGGATGTTCTCAAGTCCTGTACAGCTACAGCTAATTTGCAGTTGAATTTAAACAAGAACCATAAAAATCTAATTCATACGTAGTATTTATCAAGACATATACGACAATCATTGACGAAATTCTTCTTGTGACTAACTGGTAAAAGCATTCAACTTAATCATAAATAACTTAAAATAATAAAATAAAATAATAGTGAAATGAAGTGAAACCGGGAAGTTCATGGCAAGTTTGAATTTCAACAAAGATGGGTTCATTCAATTTACAGGGATCGTTCTGATACAACTATAATACAATTGTATTTCTAAAATCAAATTTTATCAAATAATAGCAAATTATCACTAGCTAATACATAAAATTCAACAATGTGACAAAATTTTTGAACTTTACTAAAAAAATTGATCCTGCAACCAATTGAAAAGAACAACATAGAGCTATAACATAAGTAACTATCCCAATAATTTGTCCCTAGAAATGCAGAAACAATGTACAATTGCATTTATCAACTTCCAATTCAGCCGTTAACATAAAATCATAACCCCAAAACCCTAGCAAATAATGAAAAATTCCATGAAAATTAACGATTTAAAGAAGTAGTGCATAAATGATGGAGAAATTGAAGTAATTTAGGGCGGAATACAAAGGAAAGAGAGAGAAAAAGTGAACTTACCGCCACCATACATGGTTGCGCCTTGTTTCGACGAATTGCGTAAGTGGTGGTCTGGTAAGTTGGGGTTTTGGGAGGGAAGAGTTGATATGTTAAGTGAAAATTGAAAAGTGTTTTGTTAAGAGTTTTTCGAATTTTGATGTAAAATCCAAAGAATTTGTTCTTTTTTTTTTTTAACTTACGAAACTTTACGAATAATGTAGGGAAGCTAGATCAAATAAATGTCTGATTTGCTGAATTGAGCTAAACTGAACTCAATTCAAGATTGGAGCTGAATTGAACTGAACTCAATTGAATAGAGCTGAAATGAATTATTCATGGGAGAAGAAAATTAGAAACTGGATTGAAATTAAGCTGAAGAGAACATGATGTAAGTAGGGATGGCAATTTAATACGAGTTCGATTCGAATCCGATTTGATCCGAAGAAAAAAAATCCGATCCGAATTAGTTTAAAATTAGTCCGAATCCGAGTCCAATAAAATAGATCAGAATCCGAATAGGATGCGGATCGGACTTGGACCTTACACAAAATCCGACGAGTCCGATCGAGTCCGAATCCGAAAGTATGAGCATATGCTTTATAACTTGGGACAATTGTTTGCTTGTTTTGTAGCAAAATGTTCATATGTAACTTAGTTCATAATTTAAATATGTTATTTATTTATTTTTTTAATAGTAAATATGTTGTGTTTAAACTTTACTTGGTATGACAATATATGTAATTATTGGTATATTACATTACAAAAGTAAAATAAAAAATATTTGGATTTTTCTCCGGTCCGTATAAACGAGCCGGATTCAGATCCAAAAATTATGAGTCGGATCGGATTCGAACTCGAATTTTTCGGATTCGGACTCGGATTCGGATTCGGATCCGAGTCCAGGGTCCGTTTACATACTAAACGGATCGGATTCGGATTTAGCCACATCCGACCCGAATCTGATCCGTTTTCATTCCTAGCTGTAAGGGGTGTTTGCCTGTTTGGTACAACGAAAATGGAGTGGATAATAAACAATTAAGAGGAAGGAAATAAATCATTGGAAAAATTGTCCGAAATAATCCCACTTTTGGGATGTCCTCTAAAAATATTCTCATCTTTGAATTATTTTTAAATAATTCGACCTTTATACTCAATCCGCTCAAAATGGTATAACAAGTTACTTGACATGTGGTGACCTATGATTAAACCTGGGCACGGGCCGGGTTGGCCCGCGTGCCGCCCGGCACGGCCCGCCGTTCGGCGCAGCCCGGCACGGCCCGAATTCAAGCACGGCACGGCACGAAGTTCAACTCCCGTGCCACGGGCCGTGCCACGGACAGGGTTGAGAATTCCCAGGCACGGCCCGGCACGAGCACGGGCATGGCCCGCCGTGCTGGCCCGTAGGCACGGCCCGCAGGCCAACGGTAATGTTACCGTTTATTCTAGCTCTAATAAGCCAAAAAAACGGCTAAAAAACGGCTAGTTTTTTGCCAATTTGCTCCCCAAAAATTCTATAAATACTCACCTCCATTTCATTCCCAAATCACAAAATCACAATCTCTTCTTCTTATCTCTTATATTCTCTAAATCTCTAATAATCCTTATTTTCTTAAATTCTCTAATTATTCTCTTAAATTCTCTAATTATTTTCCTAATATCGGAAAAAATTAAAAAGTTCGTAATCGTAATTAGTGGAGCGTTGAAGCACGGTTGTAAGATCTAAACTAATCTTAAATTTATTATTGTTTTATTGTTATTATTAGAATAATCTTGTTTAATTATTATTGTTGTTAATTGTTATTGTTGTTGTTATAATTGTTGTTATTAATTATTATTATTGTTACAATTGTTGTTATTATCTATTTTTGTTGTTATTGTTATTGTTATAGTTGTTGTTATTAATTAATATTATTGATATTTTTATTGTTAAAATTGTTGTTATTAATTATTATTATTATAGTTAACCACTTTTGATTAAAAAATTAATTGTTAATTATGGCATCGAACAACCCATCATCTAGGTCTAGGGGGAAAGGCCGACTTATCCGTAGTAGTAGTTCTAGGGAACCACCAAATACAACGAGCCCCCAAATTACGAGTCAAACCAATGACCCCATTTACTTCCCCCCGGGCTATGAGCCATATAATACGTCGGGATTTCCAGCACCACCACTAAACCAATTTCCACTACCACCATACCAATTTCCACCTAATTATATCGGTGATCAACAAAACTATTGTTCTAGCCAAGGTAGCCAAGAAAGTACCCGAATTCCCTCCGGTTCTACCCCTTCTACTGCCACTCCCACTAGTCTCACTACTAACCATCACACACATCATGAATGGTTAACCGAAACTGAGATGCTACTTTTGAAAAACCGAAGGAGTGAGGTATGGCGTTATTTTGTCCTAAGTAAAGATGGTGAACAATGGGCAAAATGTAAAACATGTAATAGTGTATTCACGGCAGTTACCAAAAACAGGAGGGGACACTTATCTAGACACATGAAAGCTTGTGCAAAACCAGCTAGTGATCCAACCCAGCCCAAAATTTCCCAATTCCATCCATACGGCTTTACATACAACTATGAGAGGGATAGGGATGAACTAGGAAAAATGATAGTACACGCCGAACAACCTTTTCTTTTCTCGGAAAGTGACGCATTCAACACCTACATTAACAAAGCACTACAACCCCAACATAAAAGAATCTCTAGGAAAACCGTTCGTTCCGCCGCAATGAAAAATTTCCTAGAGTACAAAGTCCGGTTACAAGTCGAATTGAGTAACCTTAACTGTAGAGTATCTTTAACAGCCGATTCTTGGGATAGTGGTTATAAATATCACTATTTATGTGTGACTTGCCATTGGGTAGATGATCAATGGATGTTACAAAAAAGAATAATACATTTCAAAATGCTGGAATACCCACACACCGGCATTAACATTGCTCACCATTTAATGCAAGCAATAGACGAATACAACCTTCGAGATAAAATGATGTCTATGACTTTTGATAATGCAACCTCTATGACATACACAACTAATCTTATCAAACAAAACTTAACCGATGTACTATTAGACGGTGAAGCTCTTCATACTAGATGTGTTTGCCATGTACTTAACTTATGTGTACAGGATGGAGTTCGGGCAATTGGCCCATACTACAGCAAAATCAGAGATGCTATTATGTCTATTAATAGCTCTAACATGAGATACCAAGAATGGAAGAGTTTTCTAAAACAACAAAAGATAAGGGTAATAAAAATTAGAACCGATTGCCCAACTAGGTGGAATTCCACCTATGACATGTTAACAAAGGCAATTGAGTACAAGGGCCCGTTAACATTATTTTACAACCAAAAATTTCCACAAAATGCTTTGTATGATGATGATTGGAAAAACTGTGAAAGATATATGCAATTTTTACAGTTATTATATAACATGACGTATTGTTTTTCTACTGTTTACAATCCTTGTGCTCAAAACTTTCTTTCTAATGCATGCTTACTCGCCCAACTTTTCGCTGATCATCGCCATCAAAGTGATTATGATTAGTATCTTCCAGCAATGGAAAAAAAGTGGCGTAAATATTATAGTGAGATTCCTTTGATTTATATTTTTGCTTCCATATTAGATCCTAGGCAAAAGTATGAAAACACATTTATGTTAGTTGACATTTACTTTCAATGCATGTTTCTTGACGATGATGTAGAAAACTATAAGACTAATGTGAAGGATCAGTTTTTTGCTTTATATAGAGTCTATGAAGCCAAATATGGCACCGTTCCTCGCTCAGGGCCTTCCCAACCATCCAAAAACGTAAGTAAGAAGGCCAAACATTTATTTTCACAAGCTACTAACTTGATTTCAAGGTTTTCAGGTGATTCATCAATCAGGAGAACGCAAAGCGACGTCTCGGAGTTGCAGATGTACCTGAGTTACGACTTCACCAAAGGCATGGACGACGATGAGATAAACAGCCTCGACCTCCTTGCATGGTGGAAACAACAAAGCTCGAAGCATCCAACTTTGGCGGCAATGGCACGAGACATTCTTGCTATCCAAGTTTCCTCCGTCGCCTCCGAACGAGCTTTCAGCGCATCCGGAAGGGTTTTAGACGATAGAAGAACAAGTCTAAAACCCGAAACACTAGAAATGTGCGTGTGTTTCAAAGATTGGTTGGATGCGGAAAATCGCTCACAAGACCGTTCTTACGACCACAACGACAACGAAGAAGGAACCTCCGCTTCCGGTTCGGGTTCGGCTAGTTCCCAATCTATGCAACTAGCCGATGACCTTGAAGGCGAAGGCGAAGACGAAGACGAAGACGAAGACGAGCAGAAGAAGGAGAAGAAGAATAGACAATTATTGTATATTGTACGATTTTAAAAATATCAATTTTATCATTTTCCAATTTTTGTTTAATACCATCATTGTATGATTTTTATCATTATTATCATTGTACAATTTTCTCAACTCAAGTAATAATAATATAAAGTACGCATTATTCACATCCAAAGTCCAATTTGCCTTTTTTCCCCGTTTTGTTACAATTTGTAAATTCATATTAAAAAAAAAAATTATACCAATTGCTAATAAATCATAAACATTAAATTTTAAAGTAATAGTATAAAGTAAATATATAAATATAAATATTGAATATACAAATTATAAAACATAAATATTCAACTTATAATTATAAAATTCATAACTTAATAACTTATAACTTATAAGTTATAAACTTATAAGTTACCTTATAAAACTTATAATTATAATTTTATAACTTATATACATTATAAACTTATTAATTTATAATGTTGTCATAAAAAAAAAAAAAAAAAAAAAAAAAAATTATTTGAAAACTGCACCAGCCCGCAGGCCGGCACGTGGCCGGCACGGCACGAGCCCGCCAGGCATGAGGGTCGTGCCGTGCCGTGGGCTGGCCTGTGAAAATGGTCGGCACGACATGAAATCCTGGGCCCGCCGGCACGACCGGCACGGCACGAACTAGCCCGTGGCCCGCCAGGCACGGCCCGCGGCGGCCCGGCACGGTGCCCAGGATTACCTATGATTGGTCAAAAAATAAAAATAAAATTAAGTTAATTTTGAACAAAAAAATTAATTTATTTAAAAGAAAAAATGAAAATAAAATATTAATATTTAAAAAACCACACACCAACTGCCCAAGCCACTGCTTGAGTTCCTTGCTCCACGGCTCTGGCCACTAGAACCCAATCCTAGCGCCGGTGACCAATCACGTGACTCTAGTCGCTCCCGATCCCTTTC